AGGGGAGAGGGATTGGACTTTTGATTTCGATTAAGACCTTTGTTTCACAAGTTTTGTCTATAAATTTTTATTCGTTTCGTTTACATATCATATATGCAATATATTTATTGAATAGTGCATATTCTATATTAATTATACTCTAATTATTTTGGTTTCATGCGGAAGAAATGAAAATGTCGCTGGAGCGTAAAGCACGTGATGCGGAATTTTGGGCGCATCGCATAATGCAGGAAACCGAACGGCACAATTATGATTCGTACATATGCCGTGCGCATCTGTACGATTTGGAGCGGGGTTGGACGCAGGTTTGAAATAATTTTAACAGAAAATTTGAAAATGTCTCTTTTTGGAGTTTTAAAAAATGACTGAAATAACATTTAATACCGCAGTCTATTCTTTTCCTGACTAAATATTCGGAAAGCAGTTAGAATGCTCCCAACGAATGCACTTTTAAATCAACTTAGGAACAAATAACTGATATTGTGAAAGGTGCACTGAATTCAGCTTATGACCGTACCAAAAGTTGTGCTCTTCGTCAAATGAGTGACGTGCAGGAATTTTGCGTGACCGCTCTCAGGAAAGCAAATCGATGGGCAGGGCATATTGCTTGTTCTCCTGGCGGCCAGTACTTGTCAGTGAGTGGTACTTGCGAGAAAATAAATAACCAGTGGGGAGGATTTGCGGAGGAAGTGGCTCACATACATCGAAAAGGCGGGAAGAATGGGTAATCAAGGTCAGAGATTCTAACGTTGCTGTGCTTGGCGTGTGGGCTTTCCAGCTGTAACATTAACATTAGGCTTTTGCATCAATTCCCCAGGTGGTGCTAGTGGTTCCTGATAATGTTTGGATGGTGTATTTGTAGTAGTTGTCTTTCAACACAAATCAACAAAATTGGGAAATTGAGAAAAGCGCAAATATGGTTGTCATGGTCTGTTGTCTTAAGTGAGGGAAGGTTTAGGACTGAATCTTTTTTCTTGTTTGACAAATCGATTCACCCAAGACAAATGAGTATTGTTTGCCTAAACACTTCGCGTTGGTTTTAACCTTTACGCCTTCAGTGTTAAAAATAAAAAAAGAACAAGCAAAACTTACTAAAAACTGCTGAAAGTGAACCAGCTTTGGCTTTAATGTTCGGTATAGAAGTGTATGTTTATGTAGGGGCATAGCAGTGAACGCCAGAGGGAACGTGACCATTAATTTTTCTAGCTAAATTTTATGAAAAATGGTTTGTTTCTTGGTTCTGCTAGCTTCTAGGCTATCCTAAAGAGTACCGTAGAGATGGCGGCCCGCATACAGTTAAAAATAGGTACGGCTTGATTGGCACTCTCAGTCGCATTTCGGCTTTTGTTGGTGGCAGCTCTTCCAGTTCTTCAATTGATTTTACATCTAAGTTTAGTATTGCTAGTACTAATTGTTTTCTGGTGCAATTTTGTATTTTCCTCGTAATTTAGGCTACTTTTTTCGTAAACTCTCTCGCCGTGCGTCTTTTTTTTGTCTTGCATTTTGTTTGATTTTTTTGTGTTGCATTTTGTTTCGGTGGTAACCCCCAGTCCTGAAACATGGAAAGGTTAAAAAACCTGCATCATGAGGAAACGTTTCTCAAAATGCGACTCGTTAGCGATAGTATTAATCGAGGAGATGAGATTCTGTGCAGTTAAAAATTATGTGATTTTGCGCAGTGTTTAGAGGCGTACTTTTACCTGTTCGTTTTGTTTCTCCGAAGTAAGCCATTCCTTTTTCCATGGACACTATCTAGTACTGGGTAAGCAACAGGTAAAAGTACACCTCTACACACCGCGCAAAATCTCAGCTATGTTCATAATTTTTGCTTGCACAGAATCTCGTCTCTTCGATTAATACTATCACTAACGAGTCGCATTTTGAAAAACGTTTCCTCATGATGCAGGTTTTTAAACCTTTCCATATTTCAGGACTGGGGCCTACCAT